GATGTTTTGTGGATGTTGGCTGAGGTGCACATGATGTTTTGTGGATGTTGACTGAGGTGCACATGATGTTTTGTGGATGTTGGCTGAGGTGCACATGTTTAGTGGATGTTGGCTGAGGTGCACATGACGTTTTGTGGAAGTTGGCTGAGGTGCACATGATGTTTTGTGGATGTTGGCTGATGTGCACATGTTGTTTTGTGGATGTTGACTGAGGTGCACATGATGTTTTGTGGATGTTGGCTGAGGTGCACATGTTTAGTGGATGTTGGCTGAGGTGCACATGACGTTTTGTGGAAGTTGGCTGAGGTGCACATGATGTTTTGTGGATGTTGGCTGAGGTGCACATGTTTTGTGGATGTTGACTGAGGTGCACATGATGTTTTGTGGATGTTGGCTGAGGTGCACATGTTTTGTGGATGTTGACTGAGGTGCACATGATGTTTTGTGGATGTTGGCTGAGGTGCACATGTTTTGTGGATGTTGACTGAGGTGCACATGATGTTTTGTGGATGTTGGCTGAGGTGCACATGATGTTTTGTGGATGTTGGCTGAGGTGCACATGTTTTGTGGATGTTGACTGAGGTGCACATGATGTTTTGTGGATGTTGGCTGAGGTGCACATGTTTTGTGGATGTTGACTGAGGTGCACATGATGTTTTGTGGATGTTGGCTGAGGTGCACATGATGTTTTGTGGATGTTGACTGAGGTGCACATGATGTTTTGTGGATGTTGGCTGAGGTGCACATGTTTAGTGGATGTTGGCTGAGGTGCACATGACGTTTTGTGGAAGTTGGCTGAGGTGCACATGATGTTTTGTGGATGTTGGCTGAGGTGCACATGTTTTGTGGATGTTGACTGAGGTGCACATGATGTTTTGTGGATGTTGGCTGAGGTGCACATGATGTTTTGTGGATGTTGGCTGAGGTGCACATGTTTAGTGGATGTTGGCTGAGGTGCACATGACGTTTTGTGGAAGTTGGCTGAGGTGCACATGATGTTTTGTGGATGTTGGCTGAGGTGCACATGTTTTGTGGATGTTGACTGAGGTGCACATGATGTTTTGTGGATGTTGGCTGAGGTGCACATGATGTTTTGTGGATGTTGGCTGAGGTGCACATGTTTTGTGGATGTTGACTGAGGTGCACATGATGTTTTGTGGATGTTGGCTGAGGTGCATATGTTTTGTGGATGTTGACTGAGGTGCACATGATGTTTTGTGGATGTTGGCTGAGGTGCACATGATGTTTTGTGGATGTTGACTGAGGTGCACATGATGTTTTGTGGATGTTGGCTGAGGTGCACATGTTTAGTGGATGTTGGCTGAGGTGCACATGACGTTTTGTGGAAGTTGGCTGAGGTGCACATGATGTTTTGTGGATGTTGGCTGATGTGCACATGTTGTTTTGTGGATGTTGACTGAGGTGCACATGATGTTTTGTGGATGTTGGCTGAGGTGCACATGTTTAGTGGATGTTGGCTGAGGTGCACATGACGTTTTGTGGAAGTTGGCTGAGGTGCACATGATGTTTTGTGGATGTTGGCTGAGGTGCACATGTTTTGTGGATGTTGACTGAGGTGCACATGATGTTTTGTGGATGTTGGCTGATGTGCACATGTTGTTTTGTGGATGTTGGCTGAGGTGCACATGTTTTGTGGATGTTGGCTGAGGTGCACATGATGTTTTGTGGATATTGGCTGAGGTGCACATGTTGTTTTGTGGATGTTGGCTGAGGTGCACATGATGTTTTGTGGATGTTGGCTGAGGTGCAATTTAACTTGCGAATGTCTATGAGGACCCACCCCTCCTCCCCTGCAAAGTTGACTGTAAAATGTACAAACCCTCTCCAACTAGACAAACTCTCCCAAGTTACGCGAGAGTACAGAGAAACTGACCCGCAACTAATTTTCTGCATCTGACCCCCCCCCCCCCCGTCACACACCTGGTGACTGACCACGACCCTGTTTCACTGACCCACTGAGGTCAAGGCCGACCATCACACCTTGCTGCCTGTCGTTTAACGTCTGAACGTCACGCCCCACCCTGGGGTCATTATCTCAACTTTACCCCCGGGACTCATAAATCTACCAAGCAAGAGTCGGAACTGACCACTGACATACATCATGGGTGTTCCGTGGTAGTCTAACCCAGTGGCGTAGCGAGGCCGGGCGTCACCCGGTGCGGCACTAAATGGTGTCACCCCCCTCCCCCCGTAAAATAAATAAAATATATATATATATATATATATATATATATATATATATATATATATATATATATATATATATGTATATATATTTTATATATATACATAAGTTTTCAAAAACTTTTGAGAAATTAAATGATTAATTAATTGGTGATTTGATGTTATGTGGAGTGCTTAGTGTCTAATTAAGCGGTCTGAGTAATTTCTAGTCATGCATCAATTAATGGTGTATTCGCAAACTTATTACTCGCTTGGTTATTAGAACTGCAAAGGCTTCCTTAAAAGTATAAATCAAATATTATATTTATTTTACTTTTGGAATTAATTTTTACAAGGTCAGGACAATACATAATTTACTTTATAACGAAATATCAGTTTAAACGAATGCTATACTTTGTAATGTTTGTTTTTTCTTTTAGATTGCAAAAAATTTATTTAAAAATTATTACTTAAAATTAAAACGTTATCTCCCATGTGCACATGCCAAAATTGATGTAGTCTTTGTTTACTTTTTCACAAACAATTGTTTATATAAGAAAATACGGTATCTGGACAAATCTAACGACCCTAAAGGGTTTATCCGACGGGAATATTGTTTTTTTTTGTTACCCTTCATGGTCGGTCTACGATCTCATAAAATATCAAGGGGGGGGGGCGTTCGGTAAGTTTTTTTAGTAATATATATCTCATATAAGGCGCCGGTCAGTCGAGGTCAGTTTTGAGCCTCTCTTTGCGGCCAACCGGTACCGGCCCCCGTGTTCTATTGCCTGCCAAATTTGAATTTATATAAGTATGTATGTATATATTATACACGCATGTGTATGCATTCAATTTTTTAATTTTTTTTTACCTCCCCTCTCCTCATAGATGGATTAACAGGCATTACCTCAGGCATATCTTGCAAAGAAGTTGAGTTAATGTAACTCCCCCCCCCCCCCCCCCCCCCCCCCCCCCCCACGGCGATTGCTTTTAACTGTGCTCAGATATATACTAATCGGTTATAAATACAGCATGATGTAGCATTTTTCTGTTTCTTTTTTGCCTTTGTGTCATCCCCGCCCCCTAAATGGTGACACCCGGTGGGATCTGGTTGAGCGAAGGGGTTGGCAGGGTCTTCGGATCAGTGCTGTAATGGACAGATTATCTAGCGTTGATTTTCATTGAATGTTTAACTTAAGTCACCCCTTGCCCCATCTTAGCCAAGTAAGTCACCCCCTGCCCCAGTCACCACCTAACTAAATTACCGTTTTGTTATTGTACATGTATACCGAGTGTAAACCATTAAGGGGGAAATATGTATTTCCCGGGCCCCTTATAGCAGAGCACTCCTGCTTAGGTATGTTAGTACATAATGATCACGTGACACATACACACAAACAAATCGTATACTTGTTACATACACAAGGACAATCTTCGTGTCCCACACACACAGTGACAATCATACATTAACTAACAACATGAATCCAGTGTAAAATAGATTTTATTGAAAAATTTGGGGAATAAAGAATAAATCATGAAATATATGCATGCAGAAGTGGTATAGGCATATTTAATTAGCATGCAGAATAAAATTTAATTTGTACAATTTATTTGTAAACATTGTAGTGACTAGTATACCTTTAGTCCAAATTTTTATGTACATAATTACAACTTCACCTTCACTCAATACAGCATTTACGCAACATACAACTCCGCTACACCATACAGCTCAACATAACATAGGTACAACCGCACCAACATACAGCACAGCTACAGGAAGACAACATACAGCCACACCAATATAACATAGGTACAACCGCACCAACATACAGCACAGCTACATGAATACAACATTAAGAACAGCCACACCAGCATAACATGGGTACACATCAACATACAATACATCTACACCAGGGGTCTCCAAACTACGGCCCGCGGGCCGGATGTGGCCCGCGAGCCGGATGTGGCCCGCGAGCCGGATGTGGCCCGCGAGGTCCTCTCATCCGGCCCGCGGAGATCTTTTTGTCCACGGAAATAAACGTTTGTTGGAGATTGCTGAGGAACTTTGCTCAGAAAAATCACGACATGCCTGGAAGAAACTGGCCCCCGAACTGAAATTAGATAGTTAATGCGGTCCTCAGACTGAAAAGTTTGGAGATCCCTGATCTACACCATACAACTACACAAACACAACATACAGCAGTCACATTACACACACACACTTGCTTGCCCCAGACATTCACTGAAAGATTGGATACAAAATTTGAATTGATAGAAAATTTGAATTGATAGAAAATTTGAATTGATACAAAATTTGAATTGATACAAAATTTGAATTGATACAAAATTTGAATTGATACAAAATTTAAAAATACTGATTGTAAAGTTAAAAAATTAGCTATATTACAGTTGTATGGATCATTGATAAGTTATTAAATCATGATTTTGTAGTACCATTTAAGTAAATTATCTTTAGCTACTAGCTGTATACAAGTAAATACAATAATCAACATAATGTATGCTCTTCAAAAAATTCATTACATAATATTACACAACTTGATTACAATGATCCCTGAGGTAGATGAAAGGTTCAATGTGATTGGTAATCACTGGTGATGTGAACACTGTGACAGGTGAATTTGTGACAGCAGGTTGACTGGTGACAGGTTGGTGATAATTGAATTGTGACACCAGTTTGATGATTGGTGACCTCAAGATGATGATTAGTGACAAAATGATGATGACATCAGGAGAATGACTAGTGACCACAGATAGTTGGGATAAGATAAATGGTGACCAAATGTCAAAGGTGACACAAATGGTGACAACATGTCAATGAATGGTGATGAAAGTATGATGATGGGCGACATCAATAAATGGTGACTACTAGTAGAGAAGTGAGCCGAGGTAGATGAATGAATTAGGTTGATCCAGTGGATGACCCCCTTTTCCTGCCGGCGCCATTTCTTGGAGTTTTCAGCAAACAGTCCATCACCCCTAGACCATGGTCATTGTATGGACAGTACTTGATTGTGTGGGCCTTGGTGCCAGTGGCGTAACATTTGGGACAGCTGTACCTGTAGGGAGAAGAACAAATTTAAGTTCATGTAGTGCAAGTTACAGTACTGTAGTTACAGTAAGTAGGAGGAGGCTTGGGCAAGGTGGGGGAGGTAGTGGGTTTAAGGTGGGGCAGGTGGTGGGCGTAAGGTGGGACAGGTAGTGGGACAGGTGGTGGGCTTAAGGTGGGACAGGTGGTGGGCTTAAGGTGGGACAGGTGGTGGGCTTAAGGTGGGACAGGTGGTGGGCTTAAGGTGGGACAGGTGGTGCGCTTAAGGTGGGACAGGTGGTGGGCTTAAGGTAGGACAGGTGGTGGGCTTAAGGTGGGACAGGTAGTGGGCTTAAGGTGGGACAGGTAGTGGGACAGGTGGTGGGCTTAAGGTGGGACAGGTGGTGGGCTTAAGGTGGGGTAGGTGATGGGCTTAAGGTGGGACAGGTGGTGGGCTTAAGATGGGACAGGTGGTGGGCTTAAGGTGGGACAGGTGGTGGGCTTAAGGTAGGACAGGTAGTGGGCTTAAGGTAGGACAGGTGGTGGGCTTAAGGTGGTGGAGGTGGTGGGCTTAAGGTGGTGGAGGTGGTGGGCTTAAGGTGGTGGAGGTGGTGGGCTTAAGGTGGTGGAGGTGGTGGGCTTAAGGTGGGACAGGTGGTGGGCTTAAGGTGGTGGAGGTGGTGGGCTTAAGGTGGGACAGGTGGTGGACTTAAGGTGGTGGAGGTGGTGGGCTTAAGGTGGCAGATGTGGTGGTGGGCTTAAGGTGGGTTAGGTGGTGGGCTTAAGGTGGGACAGGTGGTGGGCTTAAGGTGGGACAGGTGGTGGGCTTAAGGTAGGACAGGTGGTGGGCTTAAGGTAGGACAGGTGGTGGGCTTAAGGTAGGACAGGTGGTGGGCTTAAGGTGGTGGAGGTGGTGGGCTTAAGGTGGTGGAGGTGGTGGGCTTAAGGTGGTGGAGGTGGTGGGCTTAAGGTGGTGGAGGTGGTGGGCTTAAGGTGGGACAGGTGGTGGGCTTAAGGTGGTGGAGGTGGTGGGCTTAAGGTGGGACAGGTGGTGGGCTTAAGGTGGTGGGCTTAAGGTGGCAGATGTGGTGGTGGGCTTAAGGTGGGACAGGTGGTGGGCTTAAGGTGGGACAGGTGGTGGGCTTAAGGTGGGACAGGTGGTGGGCTTAAGGTGGGACAGGTGGTGGGCTTAAGGTGGGACAGGTTGTGGGCTTAAGGTGGGACAGGTAGTGGGCTTAAGGTGGGACAGGTGGTGGGCTTAAGGTGGGACAGGTAGTGGGCTTAAGGTGGGACAGGTGGTGGGCTTAAGGTGGGACAGGTGGTGCGCTTAAGGTGGGACAGGTGGTGCGCTTAAGGTGGGACAGGTGGTGGGCTTAAGGTAGGACAGGTGGTGGGCTTAAGGTGGGACAGGTAGTGGGCTTAAGGTGGGACAGGTAGTGGGCTTAAGGTGGGACAGGTGGTGGGCTTTAGGTGGGACAGGTAGTGGGCTTAAGGTGGGACAGGTGGTGGGCTTAAGGTGGTGGGCTTAAGGTGGGACAGGTGGTGGGCTTAAGGTGGTGGAGGTGGTGGGCTTAAGGTGGGACAGGTGGTGGGCTTAAGGTGGTGGAGGTGGTGGGCTTAAGGTGGGACAGGTGGTGGGCTTAAGGTGGTGGAGGTGGTGGGCTTAAGGTGGTGGAGGTGGTGGGCTTAAGGTGGCAGATGTGGTGGTGGGCTTAAGGTGGGACAGGTGGTGGGCTTAAGGTGGCAGATGTGGTGGTGGGCTTAAGGTGGGACAGGTGGTGGGCTTAAGGTGGCAGATGTGGTGGTGGGCTTAAGGTGGGACAAGTGGTGGGCTTAAGGTGGGACAGGTGGTGGGCTTAAGGTGGGACAGGTGGTGGGCTTAAGGTGGGACAAGTGGTGGGCTTAAGGTGGGACAGGTGGTGGGCTTAAGGTGGGACAGGTGGTGGGCTTAAGGCGGGACAGGTGGTGGGCTTAAGGCGGGACAGGTGGTGGGCTTAAGGTGGGACAGGTGGTGGGCTTAAGGTGAAGGTGAGGTGGGCTTAAGGTGGGACAGGTAGTGGGCTTAAGGTGGGACAGGTAGTGGGCTTAAGGTGGGACAGGTAGTGGGCTTAAGGTGGGACAGGTGGTGGGCTTAAGGTGGGACAGGTAGTGGGCTTAAGGTGGGACAGGTAGTGGGACAGGTGGTGGGTTTAAGGTGGGGTAGGTGATGGGCTTAAGGTGGGACAGGTGGTGGGCTTAAGGTGGGACAGGTGGTGCGCTTAAGGTGGGACAGGTGGTGGGCTTAAGGTGGGACAGGTGGTGGGCTTAAGGTGGGACAGGTGGTGGGCTTAAGGTGGGACAGGTAGTGGGCTTAAGGTGGGACAGGTGGTGGGCTTAAGGTGGGACAGGTGGTGGGCTTAAGGTGGGACAGGTGGTGGGCTTAAGGTGGGACAGGTGGTGGGCTTAAGGTGGGACAAGTGGTGGGCTTAAGGTGGGACAGGTGGTGGGCTTAAGGTGGGACAGGTGGTGGGCTTAAGGTGGGACAGGTGGTGTGCTTAAGGTGGGACAGGTGGTGGGCTTAAGGTGGGACAGGTGGTGGGCTTAAGGTGGGACAGGTAGTGGGCTTACGGTGAAGTTGAGGTGGGCTTAAGGTGGGACAGGTAGTGGGCTTAAGTTGGGACAGGTGGTGGGCTTAAGGTGGTGGGCTTACGGTGGGACAGGTAGTGCGCTTAAGGTGGTGGAGGTAGTGCGCTTAAGGTGGGACAGGTGGTGGGCTTAAGGTGGGACAGGTGGTGGGCTTAAGGTGGGACAGGTAGTGGGCTTACGGTGAAGTTGAGGTGGGCTTAAGGTGGGACAGGTAGTGCGCTTAAGGTGGTGGAGGTAGTGCGCTTAAGGTGGGACAGGTGGTGCGCTTAAGGTGGGACAGGTGGTGGGCTTAAGGTGGGACAGGTAGTGGGCTCAAGGTGGGACAGGTGGTGGGCTTAAGGTGAGACAGGTGGTGGGCTTAAGGTGGGACAGGTGGTGGGCTTAAGGTGGGACAGGTGGTGAGCTTAAGATGGTGGAGGTAGTGGGCTTAAGATGGTGGAGGTGGTGGGTTTAAGGTGGGACAGGTAGTGGGCTTAAGGTGGGACAGGTGGTGGGCTTAAGGTGGGACAGGTGGTGCGCTTAAGGTGGGACAGGTAGTGGGCTTAAGGTGGGACAGGTGGTGGGCTTAAGGTGGGACAGGTGGTAGGCTTAAGGTGGGACAGGTGGTGCGCTTAAGGTGGGACAGGTAGTGGGCTTAAGGTGGGACAGGTGGTGGGCTTAAGGTGGGACAGGTGGTAGGCTTAAGGTGGGACAGGTGGTGCGCTTAAGGTGGGACAGGTAGTGGGCTTAAGGTGAAGGTGAGGTGGGCTTAAGGTGGGACAGGTAGTGGGCTTAAGGTGGGACAGGTAGTGGGCTTAAGGTGGGACAGGTGGTGGGCTTAAGGTGGGACAGGTGGTGGGCTTAAGGTGGGACAGGTGGTGCGCTTAAGGTGGGACAGGTAGTGGGCTTACGGTGAAGTTGAGGTGGGCTTAAGGTGGGACAGGTAGTGGGCTTAAGTTGGGACAGGTGGTGGGCTTAAGGTGGTGGGCTTAAGTTGGGACAGGTGGTGGGCTTAAGGTGGGGTAGGTGGTGGGCTTAAGGTGGGGTAGGTAGTGGGCTTAAGTTTGTTTTTCCAACATTTTCAATTAGCACATGTTAGTGGACTTCTATTCCTTACTTACCAAAGCAGTGTGTGCATACTAAAGTGCAGATTTAAAAAAATTTGCAGGGTCAGCTCCGGGTCACAATACAATGCATGTATCAGATATCAGCTACCTACTGGTCAGTTTATGGGCAAACCATTAAATCAAGCAGGGGGAATGTCACCCAGACATCAGGGGGAATGTCACCCAGACATCAGGGGGAATGTCACCCAGACATCAGGGGGAATGTCACCCAGACATCTAATAGGTCGCAGCCAGGCTCAGGGGAGAATGAAGTCATAAACTTGACCTGTGGTATGCCAACACAGGACACACTCTTTTAATGCCCCAAACAAAGACTGTTCATTGAACAAAACAGGCACTGAAAATGTCACTAAATTTAAGTCCTAGGTGACAATTTTCTTGTCAATTTGGCTCCCCAATGGTATTGATAATCTGTGCGCAGGGTCAGAAATTGACTGTGCTGCAGTGTAGCTTAGAGGGAACACTGGTTATGATGGGGCAGGTAGTGGGGTCAGGATGGGGAAGGGTAGGGCAGGCAGTGGGCTTGAGATGGGGCTGATGGTGACTGGGGCAAGTGGTGACTCACTTGGCTAAGATGGGGCAGGGGGGTGACTGGGGGAGGTGGTGACTTGCATGGCTAAGATGGGACATGGGGTGACTTACTTGGCTAAGATGGGGCAGGGGGTGACGGGCAGGTGGTGACTTGCATGGCTAAGATGGGACATGGGGTGACTTACTTGGCTAAGATGGGACATGGGGTGACTTACTTGGCTAAGATGGGGCAGGGGGTGACTGGGGGAGGTGGTGACTTGCATGGCTAAGATGGGACAGGTGGTGACTTACTTGGCTAAAACAGGGCAGGGGGTGACTTGCATGGCTAAGATGGGGCAGGGGGTGACTGGGGCAGGTGGTGACTTGCATGGCTAAGATGGGGCAGGTGGTGACTTGCATGGCTAAGATGGGGCAGGGGGTGACTGGGGCAGGTGGTGACTTGCATGGCTAAGATGGGGCAGGGGGTGACTGGGGCAGGTGGTGACTTGCATGGCTAAGATGGGGCAGGGGGTGACTTACTTGGCTAAGATGGGGCAGGGGGTGACTTACTTGGCTAAGATGGGGCAGGTGGTGACTTGGCTAAGATGGGGCAGGTGGTGACTTGGCTAAGATGGGGCAGGTGGTGACTTGGCTAAGATGGGGCAGGTGGTGACTTGGCTAAGATGGGACAGGTGGTGACTTACTTGGCTAAGATGGGGCAGGTGGTGTCACCCTTGGAGTTCTTGACCAGGTGTGTGTTGTAAACTTTGTCTTGTTCCTTATTGTTCTTACAGAAGACACAGTGCATCTTGTTTGCCAGGGGTCTCTTTCTCATCAGGGACTGTCTCTCCTGGTTCAATACAGGTGTAAACATTAGGTTACAGGTAAAAATATACATTAGGTTACAGGTAAAAATAGACGGGAATTAAAAAACTTCAGGCTTTGGCGATCTGTTGGTCACAAAATAGGCTAGTCTTTACTTGACATTTTTCAAAAATAGTATGCAACTTTTGGGTGAGAAAATTAATCTTAGATAAAAAATTAATATTATTATCAATTATTATAAAAACTGCCGCACTAATTAAAAATTGATAAGGAAAAAAACCATCTTGTTACAAATAATTGTAATGTAAGAATTGAGACATAGATGCAGGCTCTAGATCTAGTCTATTGTCTCTTATGGTCTTTTTTGTGTGTGCTTGTTAAGTGGACGCTGTTCTGTTGAGTAACTTCAGTCAACAGAAACCAAATGATAATATTTTATTAATATTCCACTAGCTATTGGTTACGGTATGTGTAAGGACTGCAACCATAACAGTTTTTATTACGAAACTAGTAAATTTGATCCATATAGGATAAACACCCCCTTACAATAGACAGTATTTAAGAAATGATTTGACTACTAGATCTAGAGCTAGTAACATAGGAATAGTGTTGTCTGTTCTGTAGAACGTAAAAAAAATAACTTTCTTAGGATGTAAGTTGCATTCCAACTAAGTCGCCTAAACGATGTTAGTTTGTGATTTCAGTAAAGAGTCGCCTATAAAAGACACGACAAACTCTTAAGGGGGGGGGGTGTAATTTTTGACGAGTGATGAGGGGAAAGCGTTAGATAGTGTGACGTCACATTAATATTTTAAAAAGCAGACTTCATGTTCGTAACTAAATTACAGCCGGTTTTGTACGTTTGTACGTTTTAAAATTCTTTTTTTTCTTCGTAAATTGAAATAGGAATTACTTGATGTGGAGGGAGGTAAAAGTCGTCAAAAAGCATTTATAATTGACAATTTATTTTTTTTAAAAACCATTTGCCCAGATGTAGGCCTACCTTATGCTAACATACTGTGTTAACAATTATTTCTGGGCACTACTGTGAACTAAAACTTCCACACGCTAGGTTTAAGTCGATTTACAGTAGGCCCACAGTAGGCCTAACAGACTCAAGTAATAATTAACATAATATTGAATGACAGATCAAATTTAGCCTAATTTTTAACTTTCGTGTTACTAGCCTACAATATAAATTATACACTACTATTTAAATAACTAAAGAAAAGCGTGGGTCTCTTCTCAAATATTAGATTTAGTAAAGGTATCAAATAGGTACCAAAGTAAAGTGACTTAAGTAAAGTGACTTTAGGCCTATAGTTATTTAAATAATAAATAGTAGAGTAAAATTAAAATGTATTTTCTACTCTTTAGTGCATTATTACATAAAAGCTTGTTATTAAAACGTTTTTTAACGAATTTTATTTTAGTACTTTACATGTTATTTACAATAGAGTTGAATAGAGTTACTACATGACTAAAAACCATTGCGCACTTATAGAACGCGTGGAGTAGTTGGATAGGACTGCTTACTAATTTAATTTGGACACATTTTTAATTAATTCATAAAAAATTATTTTAGTGCATTATTACATAAAAGCTTATTAAAACGTTTTCGATGAAAATGTTAAATACTTTCATGTTACTAGCCTACATTCTTTTGTGTCTAGATCTAGAATAGATCTAGAATCTAGATCTAGATTTGATCGGATCATTAATTAGTAGGCCTACTCTTGAAATAAAATTTTAATGAGACAAAAAGCTAAATACAATTAGATCTAGAATGTAAGCGGGGAGGTCCTAAGTATACCAGTGTGGGGTGATTGCCTAGAGTGCCCTAGAGCTACTAAATTTGTTGAACCACGTCATTTTGATAGGTTGTTAACCCATAAGTTACTATCTAAATCTAGAAAATCTAGATGACTATCGTAATGGTTCCTTAGCCTTGATCTTAAAACCTAGCGATCCATTGATTGGGCAGATGTAGAATCTAGATCTAGATCTAGATCTAGTAGATCTAGTAGGTTTTTAGTTTTTCCTCGGCATAATGAGAGAGTGTTAAATTAGTGTTAATTTAATAATTAGCCTAATAGTAGTGCGGTCAGCACCTGTGACAAGCGCCTTGATGAGGCTTTAATTAATTAATTATCATATGAATAATAGGGCAATGTGAGGACTTACTTTGTCAATTTCTTCCAGCAGTACAGCCGTGTCGTCGTCCACATCATCGACATACAGGTTCTTCAGCAGCTTCTTCCTCTTGGAGTTGTATTTGATCCAGTCCAGGGCGTCCATCTCTTGGCTGATGCCATTTGTCTCAAACTCGTGCCTGATGTCCTCAATGGTATCCGCCAGGTCAGCATACGAGAACATTCTAGAGATTTGACGTGGTCTGGTTGTCAAAACACTTCAAGGACTGATGCACGGGTTGATGCCCTCAACGGAGACTGCTAGAATTACTTACTTCCGATGCTTAGGCCTAACCAGGTCTAACATAGGCTACAGACTGAGATGATAGAGGGACACAGCGAGCACTTGTCAGCATCAGCCCCCATCTTTTAAACTTGGGCCTAAACCACGCCCACCACGTGCCGTATCCAGCCAACCAAATTGTACACCTCTTGATCCCAATGGTCACTGAAACAACGAGGCCACGCCCGGTTACGCCAAGGATGATTGTGGCCTATCGCAGAGCGTCTCAGCCCATAGATGGATGCTTAGGCCGATTGTAGGAAAAAAAGTCACAGAAAAAAAAAACACAGGAAAAAAAAACACAGAAAAAAAGTCACAGGAAAAAAAGTCACAGGAAAAAAAGTCACAGGAAAAAAAGTCACAAATATATGTTTGCATGATATTTGTTAATACTTTTATGTATTAAATATTTAGAGAGTGCAAATTAACTTAGGATTAATTAAATGTAATGTAATGTGTGTCGGCTGTATACGCATAGGAATTTTTATAATTCATCTAAAAATATTTATTATGAAGTAAGTAGATTGTAATTATGTTAAACTTAAGATTAGTAGCATTTAATAGAATGCTCCAAAGTCCACGGTTTTCATCGTGTTTTTTTTTTTAATACCAATATTAAATTACCGTGAAATGGTAATTTCATCTGACTTGCTGCCCTCAACTCATGGCAACAATAGTTATGTTTAGTTCAACCACCTTTACTGCCCACATTTATCACGCTCATTACATAACAAAACTTAGGATCAAAACAGAAAGCCGACAAGGTTCAACGGCTGTCATTGACGCGTAACGTCAACAACACAAAATATGTTCGGACAATGCCTACTGAGGAGAGGCCGACCAGAGAGTAGCCTACGGCAAAATTTGCCTAAATTTCTTTTATAATTAACTTTTCTACCGCGTATTTAACGTAACAAGTTGAGATTGTTGAGTAAATTATCTTAGAGTATTTTTACTTACAATTGCTATAAATCATAATGCTGTTAACGTCTATAACTAATTTATGCTATCAAAAAATACAACCCACAACAATAAACATACAAAATTTTACAATTCTTAACAAATTAATAAAAATATTTCTAAAAAGATTTTTGTGACTTTTTTTCTGTGACTTTATTTCTGTGACTTTTTTTCCGATAAAATTTTTCCACTGTGACTTTTTTTCTGTGACTTTTTTTCCTAGCAAAAACTGTGACTTTTTTTCTGTGTTTTTTTTTCCTGTGACTTTTTTTCCGTTTACCGCTTAGGCCTAGGCCCTATCAAAATCATGTTTCTATAGGTAGGCTCCCTAGTTTAGGCCCTAAATATTAAAAATAGTAGGCTAATAGTGTTAGGCCAAGCCCTAAATAAATTACAATAAGTTTTAGTTAGATAGTCTTTCTAGAAATTACAATTAGGCCTAGATCTGGTGAAAGGAATGAAACAAGAAACCATTCAAATACTGACTATTAAAACATTAAATGTATAGTGGTAATGTATGCGCAGTACAGACAACACATTTTGAACTTACAACATCCTATTTTTGGCGGGAGAACTTTGTATTTACATTTAAAAAAATTAAAAACACCAGTCTGGGCTAAACTTATCGAACACGAGTTATACCCGTGGGATGTGTCACTTTGGGCTGTGTCACTTTGTGTGTCACGTCAGTCTGGATCACGTGACAGCATGTGACAGCACGGGTAGGTTGTAGTTCACTGATGTCACTCTAGATGTGCACATCACAATGTGATGTCTGTCTGTCTTAGAATGTGTCTTGGAATCTGCTTCAAGCAATAAAAACATTCCAACCATCTAAACAGCATGACTGGTGTCTGCCGTAAAGACTGATGAAATGACATAGAAAAAACACGACGATTAACTCTCGATACATACATCGGATGATTGTCATACAAATTTTGTATGGGGTGAAGTTATGTGATGGTTGTCATACAAAGTTTGTTTGGGGTGAAGTTATGTGATGGTTGTCATACAAAGTTTGTTTGAGGTGAAGTTATGTGATGGTTGTCATACAAAGTTTGTTTGGGGTGAAGTTATGTGATGGTTGTCATACAAAGTTTGTATGGGGTGAAGTTATGTGATGGTTGTCATACAAAGTTTGTTTGAGGTGAAGTTATGTGATGGTTGTCATACAAAGTTTGTTTGGGGTGAAGTTATGTGATGGTTGTCATACAAAGTTTGTATGGGGTGAAGTTATGTGATGGTTGTCATACAAAGTTTGTATGGGGTGAAGTTATGTGATGGTTGTCATACAAAGTTTGTATGGGGTGAAGTTATGTGATGGTTGTCATACAAAGTTTGTATGGGGTGAAGTTATGTGATGGTTGTCATACAAAGTTTGTTTGGGGTGAAGTTATGTGATGGTTGTCATACAAAGTTTGTATGGGGTGAAGTTATGTGATGGTTGTCATACAAAGTTTGTATGGGGTGAAGTTATGTGATGGTTGTCATACAAAGTTTGTATGGGGTGAAGTTATGTGATGGTTGTCATACAAAGTTTGTATGGGGTGAAGTTATGTGATGGTTGTCATACAAAGTTTGTATGGGGTGAAGTTATGTGATGGTTGTCATACAAAGTTTGTATGGGGTGAAGTTATGTGATGGTTGTCATACAAAGTTTGTATGGGGTGAAGTTATGTGATGGTTGTCATACAAAGTTTGTATGGGGTGAAGTTATGTGATGGTTGTCATACAAAGTTTGTATGGGGTGAAGTTATGTGATGGTTGTCATACAAAGTTTGTATGGGGTGAAGTTATGTGATGGTTGTCATACAAAGTTTGTATGGGGTGAAGTTATGTGATGGTTGTCATACAAAGTTTGTATGGGGTGAAGTTATGTGATGGTTGTCATACAAAGTTTGTATGGGGTGAAGTTATGTGATGGTTGTCATACAAAGTTTGTATGGGGTGAAGTTATGTGATGGTTGTCATACAAAGTTTGTATGGGGTGAAGTTATGTGATGGTTGTCATACAAAGTTTGTATGGGGTGAAGTTATGTGATGGTTGTCATACAAAGTTTGTATGGGGTGAAGTTATGTGATGGTTGTCATACAAAGTTTGTATGGGGTGAAGTTATGTGATGGTTGTCATACAAAGTTTGTATGGGGTGAAGTTATGTGATGGTTGTCATACAAAGTTTGTATGGGGTGAAGTTATGTGATGGTTGTCATACAAAGTTTGTATGGGGTGAAGTTATGTGATGGTTGTCATACAAAGTTTGTATGGGGTGAAGTTATGTGATGGTTGTCATACAAAGTTTGTTTGGGGTGAAGTTATGTGATGGTTGTCATACAAAGTTTGTATGGGGTGAAGTTATGTGATGGTTGTCATACAAAGTTTGTATGGGGTGAAGTTATGTGATGGTTGTCATACAAAGTTTGTATGGGGTGAAGTTATGTGATGGTTGTCATACAAAGTTTGTATGGGGTGAAGTTATGTGATGGTTGTCATACAAAGTTTGTATGGGGTGAAGTTATGTGATGGTTGTCATACAAAGTTTGTATGGGGTGAAGTTATGTGATGGTTGTCATACAAAGTTTGTATGGGGTGAAGTTATGTGATGGTTGTCATACAAAGTTTGTATGGGGTGAAGTTATGTGATGGTTGTCATACAAAGTTTGTATGGGGTGAAGTTATGTGATGGTTGTCATACAAAGTTTGTATGGGGTGAAGTTATGTGATGGTTGTCATACAAAGTTTGTATGGGGTGAAGTTATGTGATGGTTGTCATACAAAGTTTGTATGGGGTGAAGTTATGTGATGGTTGTCATACAAAGTTTGTATGGGGTGAAGTTATGTGATGGTTGTCATACAAAGTTTGTATGGGGTGAAGTTATGTGATGGTTGTCATACAAAGTTTGTATGGGGTGAAGTTATGTGATGGTTGTCATACAAAGTTTGTATGGGGTGAAGTTATGTGATGGTTGTCATACAAAGTTTGTATGGGGTGAAGTTATGTGATGGTTGTCATACAAAGTTTGTATGGGGTGAAGTTATGTGATGGTTGTCATACAAAGTTTGTATGGGGTGAAGTTATGTGATGGTTGTCATACAAAGTTTGTATGGGGTGAAGTTATGTGATGGTTGTCATACAAAGTTTGTATGGGGTGAAGTTATGTGATGGTTGTCATACAAAGTTTGTATGGGGTGAAGTTATGTGATGGTTGTCATACAAAGTTTGTATGGGGTGAAGTTATGTGATGGTTGTCATACAAAGTTTGTATGGGGTGAAGTTATGTGATGGTTGTCATACAAAGTTTGTATGGGGTGAAGTTATGTGATGGTTGTCATACAAAGTTTGTATGGGGTGAAGTTATGTGATGGTTGTCATACAAAGTTTGTATGGGGTGAAGTTATGTGATGGTTGTCATACAAAGTTTGTATGGGGTGAAGTTATGTGATGGTTGTCATACAAAGTTTGTATGGGGTGAAGTTATGTGATGGTTGTCATACAAAGTTTGTATGGGGTGAAGTTATGTGATGGTTGTCATACAAAGTTTGTATGGGGTGAAGTTATGTGAACATTGAAACAATTTACTCTGGATACGACATTATGAGTGTATGCCATTATGACGTTTGTCACTAACGGTGACGCGTTAGCCTATCACATATTCATTTTATTGGTGAAAATTAAAATATTGTTTGGTGGCGTACTTACTTGTTTTAGTTTATAGGTCTAGATCTAGATCTTTATAACATCTTAATACATATGTATGCAATTAGGCTGAATGGTGATTGTAGGGAAAAAGGTTACAGGAAAAAATAAACACGGAAAAAGTCAAAGGAAAAAGTCACAAATGTGTGTTTACATGGAGTATGTTCATACTTGTATGTATTAAATATTCAGAAAGCGTAAATCAACTTACGATTGAATAAACATTTAGATAGAAGTGCGTAGTGTGTATAGTGTATAAGTATATTAATATTTATAACACTCATAAAAATATTTAGTATAAAGTTTTTAGGTTTTAATTG